GGGATGGTACTGGAAAGTATTGGTGAGCTCTTGAGAAAAATACAATTTTTTCCAGAGAAAAAAACAGTTCAAAGTTTGTGAGTATTACTCTTGTTTTCTGAAGGGCTACAGCTAACTTTCTGAAGTTCATCAGCTAAAGGTTTCAGAAATTTTTTCTCAAGTCATGGAAGATTCATTTGGGAATTCATTTGATACACAAGCTTTCTTGTTAGTGTCTGTCCACCTGATTTACTGGACATTACCTGCAGGTCATTTGCAAAACAAAGACTGGGGCACCTAATGCCATATACTTATATATCAGTTTGTTTCATGGAGTTTATGAGTGAACTCCACACTTAGAGTGTTAAAGTGAATCATGGCTAAATAAATGCATTTTTTATGCCTCCAGATTTACAATTATGCAAACACAAAATGAGAAAAAGACAAAAGCAACAAAATTATCATACAATGAACTCAAGATCCCCACGGTTCCTGCCATCCAAGTTCTATTATTTCTGGTTTATTCACTGTCAGCAATCACAGTTCTGGATTCCACATGTAGCCAGTTGAAAAGAGTTCAGAGTATTTGTCTCTGGAAGGAGCATGTTCATAAATATGTCATAATAAATGTAACAATTATAGCTATTGGATACTGGAAGAATTAATATTACTTTTTTATTTACAGTCCATAAGTGATCTCATTTTTCCTTAGGTTACCTGTTTCTAAGTCGTTTTTTTCATCTCGCTCTAGATTTTCTGTGACCTAGAGAGGAACTAAAGGTCACATGTTATTTATGCCTTTGCCAAGTCTGGTTTCATTTGTTTGCTGAAATGAACAGATCTGCAAGTACATTGGGCTTTCCCATAAACTCAGTAGTCCTTCCATGAAATTGTGACTTACTTTTTGAAATGGTTACATGCCACATCTTCACTGATGTGTATGAATGGCTTTGAACTTATCAAATTTCTTTTGGTGCCTCTAATTTCTTATTAACAACAGGCAGAAGTCCATTTACACACCACTTAAGCCTTCCCTCATAGCAATAACCTTACTTGATACATAACTGAGGTACAGTTTGAACTAGGAATAAATCCCAAACTTGCTCCGTCTTCTCAAATTCCTCCTTGGACGATGAGACCATAACTCTCTTAGAATTAAAGCTCAAGTGAGTCATTGGTTTGCTCATGATCTAAAAAACCTACAAAAAACTACGTTTCCTTCTTTATCCCAAAGGCAAGCTATGACAAAGAATTCAAAATTATGTATATCATACACAGGACACCAGTCCAAGCTCAACCAGAGATTCATTAGCTGTGTCCTTCAAACAGAATTCAAAAATTGTATAGATATTTTCCAATGAGAAAATACTCCTGTACAAAACAAAGTAATCTGCTTGCTAGTTTGGATACATTAACTAATTGTATCTAATGTATCTTTTTAAATAACAGTTTATTTTTAATGAGTGTTCCTCTCACAAGCAGCAAGAAGTGTTAACCATATCCATAGAGATATATATTGACAAATTGATCCAGAAAATTATTTAATCTTCCAATTTTATCATAATTTTATTAAGATACTGACCATTAAAGAAAAATATTTTTTTATTATAAAATATTCTTCCACTGTCAAAATAGTTTTGAAAATAATATTTGTATTCATAAATTAAAGAGGAAACTTTAACTAATCAGAAGGGCCAAGAGTGCTTGTATTTAATTGATGCATGTATGAGGTTTTAAAAATACTTCTTTCTTGGAAACTGTATATATCTAACAAAAATCATAAACAGTATGCTTCAAATTTATAAGTACATGGTTCACAAGAACTCTGCAGTACTCTGTCTTGAAAATTAGGAGTTCTTAGCATCAAAACCATTCTAAAATAGGTATATACAACATATATTATGCAGCTCCTAGCACAGCAGATCCTTGATGCAGCCATTTGAAGTCTCTGGCAGTCCTAAGACATGCAGTTAAGTACAAATCACTAGAGAATCACTTCTTCCTGTACTAGATGCAGTCAAATACAATTTTACTACCTCTGGCACAGAAGGACATAGAAGGACCCACAAGATGCCAAGACTGAGGTTCATTGTCTTCTGTTGAAGAATAATTCTTTAGCTCAGTTGTCTACACTTTAGGCTGGTTTTACTGTAAGCTTAGCAGATATTTTTTAATCCATTTTACTCCACAATTCTCTAACACATAATTTTCAGAGTTGTTTATGATATTCTATTAGAATTGCAGTTTACAACACAGTGTTCAGAACTCATGAGGACGTCGTGATTTAATCATGCCCTCTGACCAAATGACTTGAACAGTATTATTTAAATTTCTGTGCTAACGTGTATCAGAGCACTACAAGACTTTCATTCTGCTCTCCTTTAAATGGAGGTTGAATGTTTCTGATTTTACTGTAAGTTACTACAGTAATTTTCAACAGTTTCTGACATCATTACTTTAAGGGCAAACATTGAAAACCACTGTTTGTGTAAAGATGATCTTATTAGTTTGTTTACTATCTGTGTAAGAGGAAAAAGGGAGAAAGGGATAAAATTTTACAACTGATTTCATAAAGAGAGAAGATACTATATTTTCTGTCCCATACTGAAATATTTTGAAAAAATTAACAAGTGAAAGCCTTACAGGTTTCCACCACTGTTTAGAACTTTGATCAGTGATTTTTGCAGGTTTTTCTGCAAACCACCCATTTCCTATATCTTGGATTCCTTTTTTCAAAACCACAGGAACTGACACAGAAATAATATCACTGATCCATGCAAGGCAATTTTAATATACTGATACTTGCTCAAGTGCATGATCCATGTATTTTTCCACCAGAAATAATCGTTTCCATTAAAATATCTCTATCTGTGTTTTCTCTATGAAGTGAAATAAGAGCCAAAGCATAATTTAAAAGTTTAAAAAAAAAAAAAGTGAATAGAAACAGTCTCTTCACTTTTTAAAAATAAGTAACTTAATCTTCTTTAATCCTAAAAATATACCTTTAGAGATATACATCTTTATTACTTCTAGAATTAATGAGTTATAGTGTGACAACATTTGCCTGGCCTAGCACTCCATTAAGGCATTGTTCATGTGCAAGACCCAGACACTCATACATACATTGTTTAACTGACTTAACACATTCATGTTCATTAAAATCCTTTTTCAAATGACAAAACCAAAAACATTCTTTAACAAAGTTAGTAAACACAAAATATTTCCCAAATAGATTGAATGAAATGCAATGAACTAGCACCTAAGTAATACATTATCTATTCTGATATTAGATCACTGTTTCACAACTCAATCACCAAAAGAACTCTTTCAAGTTCAAACTCAACAATGAAGAAGAATAGCTTATGAAGAATAGAAAATCCTTCAAAGGCTTTAGACTAATTAATAGTATGAATGACTGTGACCAGAGGCAGATAAAATACCAACAACCACAATTAGTAGGGTCAAAACCATTGCATGATGAATAATTCCTCATTGTATGGATGTTACCTGAAAAGTGGAAAAATATTTATATATGAACAGAATGTATATATTTCACATATTTTTATGGGAAGTTTTAAAAAATATAGAAAATAATGAAACTGTACCAGCAATAGTATTTCACATCCATTTTCCAGGAATATAAACAAACCATATAATGCTCAGTTGTTGTACAGGTTGCTAAGATTGTTAATTGAATTTAACACTGGAGTTCTACATACTATTAAATGGAAATTTATACTGAAATCAATAGAAAAATTCCCATTGATTTAATAGATCCAAGATCTAACTATTGGCAGCAACACAAATTATTTTATGGTTTATATTCACAACAATTACTTTTCATAGAGCACAAGCGGTAAACACTACCAGTTTAATCATAATCCCTGTCACAGGAAAAAAAAGTTTTGTGTGTCAGCATATTCCTGAATGAGATCAGAATATGAACTACAGGGCTTGGAAAATGTCTTTCTCCAAATCTGCACATGGTCTGGGGTCACAATTTTATCCTGGGAGATGTCATACATAATGAAGAAATTCCCATAGGCATATCTATTCAGAGAAGCCAAAGTAATAATAATATGACAGTCTCCTCTCCTACTGGTACACCAGTGGGAAAACATTTACTTTCAATAATGTTATCCATTTACTTTGCTCCATTCTCATTTAACTGCACATTTCAGCAAGAGAAGTCCTCAACCAGTAGTTGTTTTGAGCTTTACAGTTCTTGAAACACAAGTGGAGAGTTTATTGGGATTTTGGAGAGGCTGTTCATAATGCTGCACCTAGTTGGAAGCTGACCCATATTTGCACTTGCAGCTGTGACCCAAGAAGGGGAAAGAAAACATTTCCAGGAATGATAATTCTGAAAGATATGATATGAAATACTGAATTCATCTTTGGGCAGCCTTTTTTTAGGCATGGACTTCTTACAGTTGCTGGTTCTCTGGATGTTAGGGGTAAAGTATGCCACTACCCACAAAATATATATATATATATATATATATATATATGTATGTATATATATATATATATAAAAGCTATGAGCTTTTTCTTACAGGAAGAAAATTCCCTAGTACCATAAAAAGGGATCTCTTCTTTCCATAGAGATCAGTGCCTCACAGGAGGCTAGAATTAAGGCAATGACAGGCCTTTATACATAGAGAGTGGCTCTATGTTTTCCCACTTCTTAATTATAATGACTCATTTTAAACAAAGCCCTGCACCTGTAATTTCTTATCGGAGCGAGGGCTTCTGCTTGAACTAGCAAGATCTTCAGTAATAAGATCTCCTTGCTAGGAAAAGGGCCCAAGAAAGTTTTGTGTATTCAACATATATCTGTATTTGAGCACACTCACACACACATGTACTTATACACACACAAATACGCACACACACACACAAATTCATAAATAGATGTCTATATATGTACATATGCAAAGAGACAATACTGAAAATCATGTTAGACTTGGAGTATTACCCACTTGTCAGAACTATTTAAACTACTATCTACACAGTACATATTGAAACTCAACTTTAAGATTTTTTTATTTTTATGTACAGTCCATTTTTTTCCTCTGGAAATAAAATATCTAAATACAGACAGACTGTAATGTTGTATATGTATAGCTTTCAACAATACTTTAGCTGAGTAAATGCTTTGTACATAGTTCTGTCTTTTAATGGAGTTTACAGCTACATTGATAAAATGGATTCCTCATTTCCTTGATTGTTTTAACCAATAACAAGCAGAGAGACAATTACAAGTTAATATTAATAAGCAGCTCAAATAACACTGGTTAAATTATGTACAATACAAACCATTCATACAAATGAAGACTAGGATATTGAATTTGTTACAATATTTTGTAATAAAGATAAGACAGCCACTTATAACTTACATGTTCTCCGCCAGGCATTTTCCTTCTTAGAGATCAATTCCAGTTTCTAAGTAGTTTAGCTGGCCTAAACTCAAACAAGTTTTAAGAATCAGAGCTTAAAGAGTCAGAGAAACATTAAACCAGAATGTCTGCTCACATGTAAATTCCAAATGTTTGCCCATCTTTACTAGAAACAGGCTTGCTCCATGGAAAAAGAGCCACCAACACCACCTTGAATGTGCCTACTGTGTGCTGGGAAAAGTCATGACACTTTGCTGTGTTCATATAATACAGAATACTGAACTCTAAACACACTTTTTTTCCCATTTTAACAAGTATTTATTCCTACAGTATTATTTACCAGTACAGCTACTCCAAGCAGTAGAATGCGTGAGTGGGGATTATTGATTGGCATGTACTCAAAGGACTTTCACGGAGATTTCCATAACAGTCTGCGTAAGAAACCTTGTACTGTCTAGTTAATCCATTTTGCTTGATGATAGGTTATGCTGAATCCTTAGATATCAGACAATGAAAGATTTCTTAACAGGAATCTCAATAATGTGCGCTGAAAAGTATGTGTGTGTGTGTCTCTGTGTATGTGTATGGGTTTATTTCAAATCCATAGTGATTCACACCTAGATTGATACATGGAGCTGACTGGACAAAAATAACATTAGATTGTTTTCCACTACATATTTGCAGCCATTTGACATCATCAGCAGCAGGTAGACACATTCCAGGCAATAAATGTGGCCTTCCTCCTTGAGGTTACAGCCCTGTCATTCGAACTCTTTTATTCCCCAGGCTTCAGTCTCAGACACAAGTTGGTCCTCACCCTGAAGGGAAGTAGGGTGTGTCACTGTGGTAGTTGTAATCAGGACACACCTTCTGTACTAGTTTATAATCTGTACTATAAAATGAAATGTAAATACAGATTACTTTAAAGGGCTTGGAGCAGAGCCATGACACGTGGCTCTGGGTCTGCTCCTGATAACAGGTTTTTGAAGGGTCATAGTTGCAGAGTGTATTCTTGGTAGCCTTGTCAACCTTTTCATACTCGATTCGACAGTTAAAGGACTTGGAATCTTTGGCATCAATCACTGTCTGTTGTGCCAAGTCAAATTCCACTATTTTTGTAGGGGGCACTAGGCTCACAGATACATTCCCTTGACCAGTGGAGTTATGCCTGAAGTAAACACTAAACGTCCCATTGCCATGGTCAACGATTTTCCCTGTTATTAACAGATTTAGCTTCACAGTCTTGATGTTGGAATGAAAATCTCCCCAGCCAAACATTTTCTTAAATTTCCCAGTCTTGACGATGGGCCGTCTCTTTGCTCTGGGCCGAGGCTCTTGCAGATCTGTGGAGTTCCTCAGCCAGTCCCAGAGATCTTGCTCAGAATAAGTTTCTGGGGCATCATATCGCAGGTCCAAATCTGTATCATTTTCCTTCCCACGAAAAGTCTGTGACAGCAATCGGCTGATGGACAAGTCTTTGCTACTTTCCGTCCATATGTGCTTTAGTGTGGATTTGGAGCTTCCTGATTTTAGAAGTTCTGTTTTTCCTCCATTTGTTAAATTTGCACAGGTAACCTGAAAAAGAAAGGGAAGAAAAAAGAAAAAATATATTGAGATACGTGATACAAACCCCATCATTTCTACCTGAGACCAAAACAACCACATTTCCTAATCATAGAGAAATTTTTTTTGAGAAATTAAATTGGAACTCTATACTCAGTAAATCAAAAGAGAAATGTCCATTTTCCTCCACTTTCCAAGTAGCTATTATTCAGTTCTTCTTTGCCAGTTTTTTTTAATTGGCCTTCAGATTAAATCACAGATATTCACATTATTCTTCTGTTATGATGTTTGCCAGTGATGAGTGTGTGATGAATTACTACAAAAACTGAGGTACACACTTGTCATTCTTCAGGCTGTATGTGGCATCTCAGAGTGAAGTGTTCTTGCTTGAATGTTCACTCTGCAAAGCTGCTGTGTCTTCCACCATCAGAGACCCATTCATTTCTTTTTGCTGCCCCTGGCATCCACTGTCAGGGCGCTGTCTTGGTGGTGCCAGCCTGACCATGCTTGGAGTCCATGTCATTATGAATCTAATAATAATAATACAATTTCCCTACTCCTTTTATGAATACTCATTGGTCTATGTTCTTGACTTGGACCTTCAGTCACAAGTACAGTATAAATAACAGAATAAGGAAAATTTTAATGAGTTTTGAGTCGACAGCTGTACATTCAGTGTACTCCACATCAGCTAGTGCAGGAGGAGTCACAGCCTTTTCTAATAATCCCTTACAGACCAACTACTGATTTGCCTTGTCTGTATCTAGTATGACAAGCATTTCTCCTTCCTCGCTTCACTTCTTTTTTCACCATTTTCTCCCCAAATTAAATAGTGATCTGTGTGAGACACAAAACATTTTGTATATTTACAAAAAATAAAAATATAGAGGCACTAATTTAAAAGCAGCAATAAAAAATTTCCTGCAAAATCACATTTAAAAGAACAGAAAATCTTGCACCAAGTTCCTATGAAATCATGTATTTCACAATATACGTGAAACAGCTTTTCACAAAATTTACTGTCAGAGCAATTTGTCTTATTTATATTTTTTCTCTTTGCTTTAATTGAGTGGAAAACAGAGAACAGATGCAGGCTCACAGCTGTCTAACATGCAGCGCTGGCAGAGAGCTCTGACAGAGCGTACCTGGGAGGGCAGGAATTCATGCAGGGTGGATGGAAAGGGACTGACAACACATGTAGTCCCATTCCCCCTAAAATGTGCACCTAACACACTGCCCAATTTTTTAACATTTTCACTGCTCTGAAGAGGCCATGACATTTCTTATTTCCCTTTTCACAGCTACATATGAGATTCCAAATATGCCTGTTTTATTCCCCTGTGTTCTGGCACTGATTTATGTGCTTCTATCATACTTGCAGTTATATCTTTCTCTTCACTTAAAAATGAATTAAGCACATTCCATACCCAGGAAACCCACTGGAAACCAGATAGTATTTAAATCATGTCCCCTCCCTACTGGTACAACTGGAGGTATATGTCACGGAGGATATCTATCACAGCATGGCCTTTTCATTTCTTAACAATCACGAAATTGAAACACACTTTCATTAACTTCAGTAGTTTTTCAAGGTCATTTGAAGGCACATACATAAAATCAGTCTTAATACACTGATCAGACAGGAGATATGCCCCCAGCCTTTTACAGCAAATAAATAGGTAAATAAATCTGTTGCATCCTTCACTATACCTCCCCAATCCATTTCATGTGGGGCCAGTAAGGATAATAGATAAAATATGGATTTAATTCAGGATTTTGCCAGAGACAACTTCCCCCTCTTTTGAATGGACAGAAGGATTAAAACACAGACTATCATTTTGATAGCCAGTTCATAGCTGCATCAATAACACAGTAGGCCAGGAGAGAAGCTGTAATAAAATGCACTGATGGTGCACTGGTTAATGAAGCAGCAATGAAGATGTCACAGGGAGAGAGAAAGAGATTCAGAATATATTTTTTTTTCTATGGCAGATGGGGAAGGAGGGCAAATAAGAAAAAAATGTGGTTAAAAGGAAAAATGTGCCTGTCTAGAATGAATCTGTCAACCTACAATGAATCTAAGCAGTTAGCTATCAGAGCTAGCAATCAGCAATCTGTAGGTAGGATACAGACGGCTTACCACTCTAATTTTCTTTGCTTACTGTTTGTTTTCCCTTTGTTTTGCTTTCTGCGTCTAATGATTTACATTTCATAGGATTAGACTACCAGTTCCATGTAACAATATGTAAGAGAATAAAAACCTTTAAAATAGGTCTGGTTTTTTTTCAGATATGTGAAATGGAAGACTCAGGAAAGGGAGGAGTTATTTTCTGAAGTGACTGATGACTGATCTAATACATGGTTTTTTGAAAGCCAGCATATTTCATGGAAATTGATGATTTAGGCTACATGCATTTTATACTGCTTCATGCCCAATCTAACAGATACAACTGATTGTTACTGTCATCGATTTTGTAATACCTGAAAGATTTCTGGCTGTGCAGTTAGCCCTGAGACCTCTGTTTGTGATTTTCAGTGTGGGTAACGGGTTGCATTCATGAGTAAAGGCCTGAACCTGCCCTTCCTAGTCAAGAGTCTGTGTGAGTGCGTAAAAAACAGCCCACAAGCATAATAAAAAAGCTCTAGAATTCATTGTGCTTCACTAATATTTTCCATCCAAGTGTTTTTTCATATACTGCTAGTATACTAAAGGCTATAGAAAGTATCCTCAGAGACTCACACACCCAACAATACAGAGCATTGCTGAGTAATAGAATTTCTGCAAATGCAGCAGTTCTTTCACATGAACTGATTCAGTTTTCTTCACTCTCTGTTCTTCCCAAACACAAGGTTGCAATAATACAAGAAAGGGCATGCAAAAGCATGAGGTTTTGCACTTATTATTGTGAAATTGAAACATAGACCTGTTTTAGGGGTGCGTGGAAAACAAGACAATTTAAAGTGGAAAATAAAACATGGAGCAGCCTAAATTCTATGGTGGTTTGTCCTCTTCCTGGGGGATATCTGCATATAATTCAGAAACTTGTATATTATTCTGTATTAGTTAGTTCACTATAACCAATTTTTCCTTCTTTTCCATAGCCAAGTGTCACTCCTAGATGAAACATTGAAAAGTTTGGCCCAATTTTAATGGCTCTGTCTAGAGTCCATTTTCTTCATAGTAACTCATATGGTGTTGTGGTTTAGACTTTTGACCCAAATGCTGGTAACACACTAATGTTCTAGCTCTGGCTGAAAAATGTACAGCACTGAGGGCTTCTCCATTTCTCTCTCAGCCCCTCAAGTGAATAGACTGGGGAGGTGCACAGTGGATTGAGAACAGACACAACTGAGCAGAGAACTTGAATTTACCAAAGATATTCCATAATATGTAGCATCATGCTTAGCAATTAAAAGGAAGAGTGGGGGGTTTAGAGGGGGAAGTTATATTTTGTTCAGGAAATGGCTGGTCATCATTCTACCCACTGGAGTTGGTTGGGTGTTGAGAGTTGCCTTTGCATTACTTGTTCTGGTTTGGTTTTTTTCTTTTCTTTCTTCTACTATTTATTCTTCAGTTATTAAACTTTCCCTTATCTTGACTCTTGAGTTTTCTTCCTTTTGTTCTTCTGTTCCTCTTCTCTATTCCACTGGGGAAAAGGGGAAAGTAAACAGAGAACTGTGCTTAGCTGCTTACCAGTGTTAACCCAAAACGCCACTGCAGTGCAATAAATCAGTGTTGCAAAAGGGCTGAGTAGGGGGATTTCCTTCATGACTGCATAGCCAGAAATGGTTCTGAATGATGGTGGCAGAAATGTTTGTATAGAAAAACAGAAAGGAGCAAAAAAAAAAATTAAAGTGCTTACCTAGTGCTACAAGTGTCACTGGAAAAAGCACTTATTAAGCATGGCAGACTGATATTTGGTTCTGGTCTTGTACTTTTGCTGGAAAGCATGGATTTCCACTACTTAGTAAAGTCTACTGATATCAAAAAGGCACCAGGAGCTTTTACTACTGCCTGGCAACTCTTTTCCAACAAACACTGACAAATTGTTCTTCCATTTCTTCTACTTCTTCTTTGAAGGAGAGACTGTGGGTGGTTTCATTAGGCAAAATATCTGAAAGGATCATTAAAAAGACACAGGAACTGATCTGTAATTTTTCTAATCTATTAAAATAGAGTAATCCATTCATTTTCTATCCTATATTTTGAGGATGATGATTTTTTTTTAATTTTTAACTTTAGTAAGCATATTTTAATTAATATATGTAGTTCTTTTAGGACTTCTTAAAGAATAGGCAGTTTATTTGTCTCAGAAATTTTGGAGTTGTCTTTCAAGACACTGAAATTTCAATTCACTCAGCCATGAATGCTTTGCCAAGTCAAACCTTAACATTTGGAGCAGAGAAAATGAAGTTGAAAGGAATTTCAAGAAACCATGAAAGCCTCAAGTGGTGATTTAGGTGCTCTTCTCAGTGTAAAACCAACCATAGGTATATTAACATTAATTAAAGCATTTTGAGATTTTAAAAAATAATAATTCAAAAAGGTATAGAATGCACCTTGATTTCTCATTCTTTTCCTTTTATTCTAGATCTACTACACTTCCTTAACTATAATTACAGTACTGGTTTAGAAATTATGCATTTATTCCTCTGAATATTTGACTACTTGAGAGTAAATGAAAATGCAAACAATCTAATACTCAAGGTGGAAAATCTCTCTCTTAAGGTAAATAACTAATCAAAAACCAAGAGTGTTTTTATTGGCATAGCACTGTAAGAATTTGGCAGCACTGTGTTTGCAAATGCAGAATTTTCTACCCTCGGTAAGATATCTCAGGTACAACATATGCTAGAGAGTATTGATGGACATTACAATAAACTGGACCATTATCAAGGCAGGTCAGTGCACAGAAAGTTGTCACTGAATCCAGTGTCCTTCTATTCTTATATCCTTTTTATGCAATGGTTGGAGGGAAAATAGGACCGAGTTCACTCTTGCATTTAGATCC